TTTTTTTTTTTTTGTAATCCATGATTCAATTTTTTGAAAATTTGTTTTTTTTTTTTGTTTTTGTAATGCATGATCGAATTTATTTTATTTTATTTTTTTTCGTAATCCATGATCTAATTTTTTTGAAAATTTGTTTTTTTGTTTTTTTTTTGTAATCTATGATCGAATTTTTTGTAATCCATGGTCGAATTTTTTGTAATCCATGATCGAATTTTTCGTAATCCATGATCGAATTTTTTGTAATCCATAATCAAATTTTTTGCAATCCATAATCCATGATCGAATTTTTTGTAATCCATGATCGAATTTTTTGAAAATTTGTTGTACTTTTTTTTTTTTTATCTACGATTGAATTTTTTGTAAAATGATGATTTTCCGAAAAGATGTGAAAATCGTGACAAAGTTTTGATTAGCATGAGGTATTAAACCAATATTATTCACATATCGAGTCCCAACAGTAATAGGGTAAGGATGAGCACGACAGTATAGGTGAGCATGAAGGATGGACAAGTTTCCAGGATTTTGGATTGGGAACACAACAGAACACTAACACTCAGGGATTTGAATATAGTTAAATGCCTGCTAATATCGATGATTCGTTTTTAGATCAAATCAATGAATTGTCAAACGAATTCAATAAATGGCACCAGCATGACCAAGAAGAAGAACATCGTCCTCTGTCATATTATTTTTAGATCATATATTACTAATTGTATGCTTTATTGTCGTCCATGTATGTTGATATACTTATTCCATAATAATTCTATGTTTATCCTTTTGTGTGACGTAAATTAAATGGTAAATAGTAGTTCATACAGGAAAAGAACATATCAATATTCGCATATTCATGCAAAGAAATGAAAATTATTAATAGAGTACCCTCATTTTTTATTGAATTCTTAAAAAAACAATATTTATAATGAATTGTAATAATTTTTTCGAATTTTTTTGAAGCTTTAATATGATCGATTCACTCGATTTTCGATCCGAATCGTCGATTCACCGATCCGGATAGATTTTTGAGATACCCAATCCGAGTCACCGATCCGCCTTTTTAAACCATTGGTTAATACAAAGGGTCCCCATCCACTTCCAGTTGTTATAAGTACAATCGTTACCCCAGCCGCCACCACCATTTCTGGTAGTAGCAGGAAAGATGGAAGAGAAAGGCATGCTAATAAGACCTAGGTGATGTGCTCACTTCTTCCACTTCCTCCTTTCTCCTTCTTTCTTCCTCTTTTTTCCCCTTTTTTTGATAGTTTTCATAACATTTTTTTGAAGAATCCTTCCATTTTTTCTTCCTCTTTTCTCCCCTTTTATTCTCCTTCTCCCCTTTTTTGTTAGTTTTCACAACAGTTTTTTGAAGAATCCTTCCATTTTTACACTTAGAGATGTTAAACCCAAGTCCCATAACCTACAAATGCATCAAGTTTTAAGTCAGAGAGTGTCACAAGTCATCAAAAGGATTGAACCAACTCTCTTTTTTCCTGCAAATCCATGAAGATTCTAGTTAAAGAACAGTATAGCAGGAGAGAGAGAGAGAGAGAGAGAGAGAAGAGCACCAAGCTCAAGCTCAGCTGAATCCATTATGCAGGTATGCAGTGGTCACAGGAGCTAACAGAGGGATAGGACTGGAAATAGTCCGGCAGCTAGCTTCACAAGGCATCAATGTGATATTAACATCAAGAAACACAGAGAGGGGGATCAAAGCCACTTCAGATCTCAACAACTCTGGTCTTCCTAATGTGACATTCCACCAACTAGATGTGAGAGACCCCATTAGCATTTCCTCCTTTGCCAAGTTCATTCAGATCCAATATGGAAAACTTGATATTCTGGTAAGATTTGAGCTCAGAGCCTTCACCATCCATATGATCACCAGCACCACCACTACCACCACCATCAAAAATCAATATCATCAATCTAGATCAACAAATAGAGGGATAGAGCACCGTGATTAGGTGGGATCGAGGTCCCTACGAATCGAGATTTTATGAAAAGGGGGTGAGCTCCCTCAAAAAAAATGATTTCTGGTCGAGATCCCAGCTTCAGACTGCAGGAGCGCTCCCAGTAACCATGATCAGTATCATCATTTTATCCTAAGCCAAATTCATTCAAACCAATTACACCAACCAAAAATAAATAAATAAATAAAAACTTAGCCAAGTTTCAAAGCATAGTTCTGATGTTATCACCATCAATATCATTGCATCCTCAGCCAACTTCATTGATTGACAGCCAATATGTAAAACTTTCTGCTTAGCCAAATCAAAAATATGAAAAGGAAAGCTCAATGATATATGGATGCAGTTAGCATGCAGCCAAGCCCGCACATGTAAAAATGCGGGGCCTTGATAAATTTATTTTTGATATAGAATTCGATCCTAATTTTTAGAAAATACATAATCTTTAACATGGACATCATGAATATGAATAAATAAATAAATTTTGAAAACTACAAATAATAATTGTATTAAAAAAAACATTTGAACCGTTAGTTTCAATTGTTTTTAAATGGACCATCTATTTGCATCATCTTTAAGATGGATGCTTTATACCTCTAGACTGCATATTATACAAATGCGGTCCAGCCTGCATGAAACAATTGTTCATGATATATATAAGACAGAAGTTTCACAGTCATCTCTAACCACATAATAGCTCTGATATCGTCGTAACCATCATCATCATTCATGAACTTGCAGGTAAATAATGCAGCAGCTTCTGGGGTGTCAGTGGATGCTGAAGCACTGAGGGCCATGAACATTGATCCAGAATGTTGGGTAAGTGACCTGCATATTGTTTGATTATCCAGGATTTAGTATGAAAGTAACATATAATCCAAAAGTCTAAAGAACATTATATTTGTCGGTTCATCACTGACCATCAAATTGAGGGATGGTGAGGGAGAGGAAGTGGAACTGTCTATCAGGTCATGACTTGTGCCGAGGGGGCTCTGTATACCTCTAACATGTAACCTTGTTTCATTGATGAAGCTTTCTGGTAAGGCAACCAACATGGTACAATGGGTTGTTCGCCAAACCTATGAATTGGCAGAAGAATGCTTGGATACAAACTACTATGGATTGAAAAGATTGGTGGAAGCACTTGTTCCTCTTTTGCAACTTTCAGACTCGGGAGCAAACCTTGTGAATGTAACCTCTCTTAGAGGAGAGCTCAAGGTAAACAAACCTAAAAAGTTTTGCCGTTTACAACATGGCAAGGCTTACAGTTAACACTTAAAAAAAAGGCTTATAATTCATATGATCAAAAAGAAAAAATAGCATTTCATAAAATTCTCATCTCTCTCTCTATGGTTCAGAGGATGCCCAACCCGAAGGTTCGGGCGGAGTTGGAAGATGTAAATAATTTGACAGAAGAGAAATTAGATGAAATGCTTCAGAAGTTTTTGAAGGATTTGAAGAATGGAGAGCTCGAGAAAAATGGTTGGCCCCTTATGTTACCATCATATAGTATGTCGAAAACTGCCCTTAACGCTTATACAAGAATTCTAGCAAAGAAATTCCCCAAAATGTGCATAAACTGTGTTCATCCTGGGTTCGTGAATACCAAACTGAATTGGAATACAGGAATCATCCCTGCTGAAGAGGGGGCCAAAGGTCCTGTCAAGGTGGCTTTGCTACCGAAAGGGGGTCCTTCTGGCTTCTATTTCGATGAGACTGAAATCTCAGCATTCTGATATAAGCATTTTGGCGCATGATCAGGAGATAGCTGCCGAGTCTATCTATGAGAGTAAGAGACATGCCAGTGTGTTGTGTGTGTTTGTGTTAGAGGAAGTATCGAGAGAGAGCTCAAAAACCATTGAAAGATGTATCTTTCTAGTTCATCGAAATATTTACCTTGTGAGCTCTTCCAATCAAATAAAGCTATTGAGTTCTTTTAGAATCCTGGTGCCTTCCTGCAATTGTCCCTAAATTTCAATGTTAGAATCAATTCAACTCAACTTAAGCAGAACACTCATGATCATTCTGTGAAATAACTTATATTATCCAAAGCATGAAGTAAACAAAGCTGTCACATTCACTTCCAATTCCAAAATTTTAATGAATGAAAAGATGTTGCATTCACTTTCCACCAAGTGATCCATGTATCAGTACCGCAGACCAAGTTTCTTGTCAAAAACAGATTCATAATTCTATGTATTTGCATTGCAAAGAACCACAAGAATTAAATGGGTATTACCTTCTCATACAACTCTTCTAATCTACTTTTCCTCAAAATTAACCTGATCAATGATACAACTATCTTCAGACTAAAGAACCATCTCCATGTCTACCTGTAAAACATAAATGATAGTATAAGACTCTAAGCAATATGTATTCACATATGTTTCCATTGCATGTTCTCTCTCTAACCTGGCTACCTTGTCTTTATTGTTAAGTGCTCATGCCTGCCAGCGAAGCATGCTTACCTTCAAGTAAACCAACGACAGGAACTTCTTTCAAGAACATAATTCACCTCATTTATTTTCATCAAGCAGCTTATAAAGACAAAGAAGGCTCTGGAAAGTGGAAAAGTGGTCTATAGAATGAGCTTAAGGTTTGATGAACAATGGAACACAAAATTGAACAATCACCATGAAGAAATGAACTGCAAGTTTCTTATTTAAAACTGGTGTATGCATTCAAGTCTCTCTTAGATCTACATGTGTGTCCAATTTATACAATCGGGATCCATTGTTCTGAAACAGAGATGTCAAATTTTCTTTAATGGGAGGCTCCTATTCCTCCAAAGTAATAGTTGCTAGGTGGCCCTGCTCAAAGCTTCATCATCAACCTGTTAACCGGGTTCATCAACCTGTTTAGCCTGGTTCCCAGGGTCCAAGTTTCTTCCACAGTTGATCACATAGATCTTGAACCTTCCGAAAGTTTTTTTTTTTTTTTTAATATTACCCGCTGGTAGTGGGTTAGCAATTTTTTGAAACTATTAGTACTGTTCAAAAGGGATTAGCATTGGTAGGAATGGAAACCGAGACCGATAACTAAGTCACTTGTGGTGCTAAGACATGGCATCCAAATTTAGTCAAATGGTGATTATTTTTTCTTTGTAATTGATCGAAGGCAAATTGATCGATTATTGTTTGTTTTTCTAGGGTTCTTTGATTGCCCCGATTTAAACTAATTTATAATTGTATAGTGGGTACTGGTATAGTCTGTTGGTGGAAGTGGCAGGGTGATGATGTCAGTGATTGTGGTAGAACAGTCAGAGTGGTGGCGGTGGTAACCATGGGGAAGCGGAAGTGCTGGTAGTGGTAGTAGTGCGGTGGTGGTGCTGGTCGTTTGGTGGTGGGGGTAGCAGTGATGGAGTGGTGTGGGAAGGTATAATTACATCTCGTACGATCATTTCCCTACGCATAAAACATGAATTTCACTTCATAACAGGAGGTATGGTTCCAATATGAACAAGAAGCCCTTATAACTGTTCCGAAGTAAATAAAATAAATCTCAATTTTCAATATCCCTTTTATTCAAAAACTTCAAAAATAAAGCAAAAAACCCTGATTGAAATTATCTCAAAGCATGCTTACAAGTACTCAAAAGCCAAGAGTCATCATCATCGTCAAAACCTTTTCCCAATTAATTGGAATTAGTTACACGAATCTCAGTCCATCATTTTGCTTTATCAAAGGTCACACTTTCAGTGAAACCATAAATCCCCATATTTTTTTTCACTACTTCCAACCATGTCCTTTTGGACTTATTTATATACATATTGAAAAAAGAGACAATAAAACCCATATGGACAAAACAAAAAAAAACTGTTTTATCTATGCGAATGTGTAGTTCCACAAGAGCATTCAAAATCCCCTTCAAGGTATGGGCACAAAATGAAAGTCTAAATTAAAACCTGCAGTGGAAAATGGATCTTTTAAGCCCTTCAATAATTTTATAAAAACATTTGAGCTCTTCAATGAAATTTTCCCAAAAATTTTAGTTGATCAATGCATCATTATGACTTACTAATTTTTGTTTCCACAAAATTTATTGTCTAATACAGAGTCGTAACTCTATGCATGTTTCCTTAGTGATGCACCAAAAGAATCAGGACAGTTAGCCTTTGAATACATCTGTGTCATATTCAGTTTCACAATTCTCAGATTTAAGCTGATCAATGGCACCTATCCTCATGTGGGAGAACCATACTTGGTACTTCAGCCAGATAAACAGAGGCTTCATGCTTACCTGCAACATATTCATGACACGATGTATTTGCACACATTTCCAGTTCATGTTTCCTCTAGCTAACATGGCAGACTTCAGTTTATCGAGTGGATGCCCTGCAAATCCTTGTAGAAACATGCCTACCTTCGTACAAACGAACTAATCACTTTTAAGAACATAATTCAACTATTCACCGTTTTTTTTTTCGTCACTGCTTTAAAGAATTCAAGGTTTAGTATTCAACGATCAAATATTAACTAAACAGATGCAGTTAAATGAGTAAAAAAACACATTCATAAATTTAATAGTTGTGCATACATCAACTCACTAGAATTCCAACGTGCATTCAATTTGTACAAAGAAGACCAGCTGTTCTGAGACAGATCAATTTCTCCTTAACAAAGGCCCAAGTGAACAGTCACCATGCAAAAGATGGCTCCTATTTCGTAGCATTCACCATCAATCCTGCTCAGTGAAAATCACTCCCGAGAGGTTCTAAGAATACATAGATCATGCATACAGATTATTACAGGACATGACCCAAAAGTGGGTCCCTCTCTCATCACCATCCATTACTTCTTTGGAAAGTGATGATGCCAAGGAACTATGGTAATCCATAATATACAATCAAATGGTATTACAATCTTTGAGCTGCTTCATCTTCTTAGGCTTCACTTGGCTTTCATGGATACTCATCTCTGGTTGATAGCTAGGCACAGGGTGATATTTCAAGGATGCCAACCTTTCCTGGTTTCTAGCCATCTTCCACTTATGAACATCCTGTTCATTAAATTAAAAAAAAATCATTTTATCAATGATTATCAATGGAACATGGTACCAGTGGTGATGTAAAAGAAGCCACAGCCAAGTACAAAATAAATTAAGGGAAACCAACAAAATGGCACGCCCACACCTTCATAAATCACGCAGACACCCTAGGCATGTGGAATTTCAAAGTGGTGCCTGAACAAGTAGGTTTCAAGACATTGCGCTAAAAATTTCTAGGGATTTTTGAGATAGTTTCCCATAAATCAATGATTGGGAGAGGAATAACACTTACACGGGCCCTCGTGAACCTTGCAATGCATTCTTTGCAAACTCTGAGTTCCATCTCAAGTGCTTGAATTCGGGACTCCACAGGAACAGAACTTTGAGCAATCACCTCTTTCTGATGACCACAAATAACTTCAGGCTGCCATACATTCAGCGCCACTGAAGCGTGTCTGTGAAACCCCAAACAAGATCAGAGGGAAAAAAAAAATTACTAACCCAACAAGTACATAAATAATGCTTCCTGGGCATACGAGCAGCTTTGCTAACGATGCAAATTGAATTCAAAAAAATTGATTTGTTCTGAATTTTATTTTACTTTGGGGCACGGTTGTAATTTTGTATTATTTATTGGTTGAATTGGGACTTAAGTATAAGGGGGCTAAAAGGAAATTTATTTAGACAATTGGATAGGATGGTCAATTTCCTACTTGTACGGGAGTGACGAAATTCTTCGTTGGAAGATGGATAGGTTATAATAGAAAGTAGATAAAGATAAAAAGTAGATAGAGATATTCATGGGGCCCACATGACTTAGAGAGAGAAAGAGAGAGAGAGACATATGTTAAAGTTGGTTAGAAAGATAGAGAGGGGGAGAATTTTCAGGTGGGTTTAGTTGATATGTAAACAAACAGGGTGGTACGTACATATTTAGGAGAGAGTTGGGTTTTTTCGTGAAGAGATATTTTTTGAATGAAAGTATAAAAGAGTATTTATTCTCTTTGGCTTGAATTACAGCCACTTATTTATCTCCATTGTTGCTGATTTTTGCTTGTGTTTCAAGATCAAAACCTCCTTGAAGGAAGGCTGGATTTATTTTCCGGACTCCTTTCGCATCAAGTGGTATCAGAGCAACAAGTGGCGACTACGATGGCTAGTCATGTAGGTTGTGGTCATGGGAATATTGTGTTATACCGAAGGATCGACAACTTGACGGAGATGGTTGCATGGTTGCTGTAAGAGAGAGATCGGCAGCAAGGTACCCCAAACGAAGAGGTTCCAGCATTGATGGATCCGAATCATGACGGTCTTGATGGAGATGGGCACAAAGCACGACTTGAATCTGGGACAGAGCAGGCTGATGATGTGTCTGTTTATCCAAATTTGCTTGATGCGCGACGGCGTCGATGGGGGCATGAATCTGATGAAGAGTCGGGCAACAGACCACCAAGAGGCCGATATGACCGGCATAGGGGTAGGGATAGGGAGGAATCATGTGATCGACATCAAGATGCACAGAGGTACAAGCATGAGGAGTTTGCAATCCATATTCTGCAAGGAGACATTGCTTTTGCTAGTTCTAATTGAGAGGTGATATCAAACCCGTCCATTTTCGATGTCATTTTCCCTAGAAGAATTTTTTATTGGTTGAGTATGGTTGAGCGCTTCTTTGATTGGAAAGAATTGTCCGATTCAAAGAAGGTCAAGCTTGTGGCTCTTAAACTTAGGGGGCTTGCATCAATATGGCAAGATCAAGTTCAAGAAGTATGGGTTCGAAAGGGATGGTGGGATCAAGTTCAAGGAAGCACGGGTTCGAAAGGGCAAAGAAAATATCAGCTCATGGGCCAAGATGAAAGAAAGGATGTGTGAACAGTTTCTCCTGCTACAAAATCCATTTGAGAGTATACAAACGAGTATTACCGCTTACACTTGTGTAATGGGTTAGTGGAGGCCGATGATCAAAACGTGGCACGTTATGGTTCGAGGCTGCAGGGTTGATCCGAGATAAGCTCATCCTGCATCATGTGCCTTGGTTGGAGGCAGTCTATCAAGCCGACTTGAAGGTGGAGGAACAACAAAGAAAGGGCAGCCATACGCCAACCCATACCAAGAGCAGGATCATCACAGACTGGGAGGCCGGCGCCTCCAACCCGGGGTGTTTATGCAGCAAAATATGACCCAGCTGCCGGCACCTAAGCACAAACCCGAGCCCAAGAGGCTACTAGCCCAAGGTGTTTTAGGTGCAATGAGGTGGGGCACCAAGCTACAGAATGGCCATTGAATGCAGCCAGCGCCACACCAATTTGGTAGAGCCTAAGCATGACACTGAACAAGGGAAAGACAATGAGGAACACCCAGTGATTGTTGCTGAAAACGAGGCTGATTTTGATGACCACATCAACGAAGTGGTGGCTGATCAAGGAGATACCTTGCTGGTTAGACATGTTCTCTCATTACCACGTGCACCCAAGGAAGAGCGTTGGCTGAGGACTAACACATTTCGCACCTGGTGTACATGTAACGACAAGGTATGAAAAGTCATCATTGATAGCGGTAGTTGCGAAAACATGGTCTCTCAAGAGATAATAGACAAGTTGCATCTCAAAGTCGGAAAGCATCCATATCCTTACGAGTTCACATGGTTCAAGAGCGGGAATGAGGTACCTGCTACTTCTTGATGCATAAAATTTTTGATCTGTAATTTCTATAAGGATGAGGTATGGTGTGATGTTGCACCAATAGATATTTGCCACATACTCCTATGACATCCCTAGCAATATGACCGGAAAAAAAAATTCACAATGGTGAACGTCACACACCTTTTGGAAGGATAGTCGCAAGGTGTTATTGCTGCCCTTGTGTGAGGAGACTCCACCCAATTCTTGTAAAGAGGAGGGTGTAGCTCTTCTCTCAAACAGTTTATGCAAGTGAGTGAGGAGACTGAGCTGATTTATGCACTTGTGGGAAAGGACTTCGGGCAGCTTGTTTCAGTGCGAGAAGCTCTTAAACCACTCTTATTGGAGTTTGAGGACCTTCTGCCAGATGAGTTACCTGTTGGATTGCCGCCTATAAGGAATATACAACATTGTATAGACCTCATACCTGGGTCAAGTTTACCTCACCTATCAGCATATAGAATTGAGTCCTAAAGAACATGATGAGCTCCAGAGGCAGGTGGGTGAGTTGTAGGCAAAAGGGCTTATAAGGATTAGCATGAGTTCATGCACAGTACTAGATTTACTTACCCCTAAGAAAGATGGATCATGGAGGATGTGTTGTGACAGCAGGGCAATTAACCAAATAACAGTTACATACCAATTCCCTATTCCACAGTTAGGTGATATGCTTGACATGTTAGCTGAGGCTACTGTATTTTCAAAATTTGACTTGAGAAGTGGCTACCATCAAATTCGCATACGCGAAGGAGTTGAGTGAAAGACTGCTTTTAAAACAAGGAGTGGGTTGTATGAGTTATTGGTGATGCCTTTTGGCCTATCAAATGTGCACGTTTATGCACAAGATGACACAGGTGCTACGACATTTTATTGGCAAATTTATGGTGGTTTATTTGATGATGTACTTGTTTATTGCAGTAGTTTAAAAACCGGATCGGTGCCCCAGATCGAGCACCCCCCAAAAACCCATCCGGATCGGTGAATCGACGTTTCGGATCGGGAATTGATCGAATCGGTTGGATTCGGTCTTTTAAATAATTCAAAAAATTTATTAAAAATCATTATAAATGTTGTTTTTTCAAAATCTAATAAGGATGAGGGTGCTACATTAATAAATTTTATTTTTTGCATCAATATGTGAATATTGAGAAGTTAACCTTCTCTCAAAAAAAAATATGAGAATATTGAGATGTTCTTTTCTTGTATGAAGATTCTCATCAATCATTTATTAAAACCTAACTATATACAATATTATACATTGAAATTAGAATTATTGGTTTGTTTTTTATTATTTTATCATCATTTTACTATACAAATAAGAATAAATTTGAAATTTGTCTTATAATATCATCTAATTTAAAAATCTAATTTACAACTATAACAAAAAAATAATACATTGCATAATTTATAATGTAAATAAATTAATAAATAAAATATAAGATTAGATTATCATTGTAATTAGTATAATTATTAATTACAATATTATAATAAACGTGATTCAAAAAACCAGGTTATGACCTCACAAATAAATAAATCTAATATATAATAATTAGTGTTGATACAAATATAGAATTTAGTAAGACAATTTGCAATCATATTTCAATAAAATTTGGAAAATAAATAAAGAAATTCATATTTCCAATGTGGGACAATTGATAAAGCAACTTGAAATAAATTCTAAAGTGGTATGAGCTAATGTTACTTTTCTCTTAAAATATCCCATAAACTAGTATTTTTTTTAATGTTCAATAAACCAGTATTAGTATTATTTTTTGCTTTTTTTAATATCCTATGAGGTAGTACTATTTTTTTTAATCCCAATTACCTAATAGCCTAATAGTAATAGTGTTTTTTTTTTGGATAAGTAAATTTAAATTTTTTTGGTGAAGGATAGAGGTGGTGGGCCTTATCAAGCAATTATTATTTTTAATAATTTTCCTCATTTTGTCTCTCTTAAAAAAAATTTAAAAAAATCACTATAAATCTCTAAAAATAGTGTTCTTTTAGTTTCTAAAAGAAATTAGGAGTGGTGCATTACGTACTTTCATTATTTTGGAAAAATAGGTGCATACAGAGATGTTTTTTTTTTATAATGTTAACTTTTTATTGTTGTATAAGTGAGTACCAGTGAAGGGGGAGAGAGAGCACCTCGAGTACACACAAGAGGGGTATCTCGGTCAAAAAATAGGTCCCGAGACCCTATACAAAAGATTAGCCTTGTCTCCTGCCAGATAACAAAAAATTGTGGTGTAGCAAAAAAATGATCACCCGAGTACAATTAAAAAAGAAAAGCTAACTATAGTCCTGGGACCCCTCTGTGTCCAGAGCAAAAAAGGAGATGGACCGGTCAGGGTCTTCCACAGTTGCCCGTGCTCCGTCTTTAGCTAGAAGATCAACGAGCTCGTTCGACGTCCGCCAGGTACGTCCATAAGACGATCATATCCCTGCATATGTGGTGAATTTCGTCAAAAATCCTTGAGAGGTACAAAGGAGGAAGGGAGGTGCCTGCTGCCCAAGAGATGATATTTTGGGCATCTCCTTCCACCACCAAAAGTTGACCCCATGAGGGATTGAACCTTTTGAGGCCCAAGAGAAGAGCCAAAGCCTCAGCAAGCTGGGAATCTCCTTGTCCCTTCCGAGTAGGTGAGGAGAATATTGCTATTGTGATCACGAAATGCCCCTCCTGCCCCGGAAGGCCCTGGGTGCCCCAGCAAACACCCATCAAAGTTGAGTTTGACGGTGTTTTCTGAAGGGGGCTGCCAGTTGTGAGGCCTTTT